TTACATTCTACATATACGCTGTCGCCAGCACACTGTTTTTCAGTTATCCAAAGCAAAAGCAATTTCTCGACACGATCTAATGTCTTCGATTTCTGTTTAGAAATTGATTTAACCCCTTTCGCAACGTTAGGAGATTTAATAATATCTTTATTTTTCGCGATTGTCGATATCGTCGTTCTCGGAATACGGTAGGAAACAGTTAAAATCTCGAACACGCATGCCACCTTTATATTCCTTAACAATCTCTTTTTTCAGTTCCATTGTGATTTTAGTCATTTTTTTATTTTTCTGTTACCTTTTTGCAATTCATGATTAATATAATTAATAAAATTTTACTTACAAATTAAAATCAGAAGAAATTTAACAAAGCTTTAAACTGTGGCACCGCGAACGTCTAGTCTGGTGTAGTACACCGATAGTGCAACTTGTTCATAGATGGCGCGTATAATTGAATTAAGTCGTATACCGAACAAAAGTCGTATACCGAGCGAAATTTGTTTCGTCTAAACAGGACGTATTCCGAATTGGACGTATTCTAAAGCAGACGTATACCGAGGTTCCACTGTATTAAAATTAAATTATTTTTGATTAAGAATGATAAGAAATTTTGAAACAAGAGAAAATAAACAAGGTGTATTTTATTTATTTATTTATTTCGGTTTAGATCGTACACTTGTTTATAGTAGTCTCAGAATACATATGTTTCTTTAATTAAAATTAAGTATCTACGTAACAAAAACAAACTAAATTTATCAATTTTTACTGCATGCATTCAGAAAATTAACTTTATTGTACAGTAAAACTTGTCCAAAATGGAACCTGCATAAAACAGAAACCTGCCAAACCGGAAAAATATTCGGTACCGCGCGGTTCCGGTTTACGCAGGTTTTATCGTATAACTTTCCGCTTTAACGGTTAACCCCTCGCCCGAACTAGTTCGTTAAATCGATATTTTACTATAATTACTTTTTCTTTATGCGACAGAAGAAAGAATCGACGTCACTCTTTCGTAAAGAGCAAATATAATAATTTTTGGCTATTTAGATTCGAATGTCGTTATTTAAATAATTAAATTGTTGTTAGAATTAATAACTCTTGCGCCTTTTGTCGAAAATTTCTGAAATTTTGCAAGGAGGTTTGTGTATTAAGGGGATTGATGCCGTTAAATTCTGGTAATTAACGGTCAAAGGTGTGGAGAAATAGAGAGGTCCACGTGTCATACTTCCGCACTTCTATCGTCGTACTAACACGTCCATTGTTAACACTTCCATTGTTGACACTTTCATCGTTACACATTTTCGAAGTCAACCACTTTCAACCCTTATATCTCCCACACCCTTATAGCTAGCTGCAAGTACCCACTTCGCTGGGTTTTTACTTGTTCGTACATTTATATGNTTAATATAAAATTACAATTAATTACAAATGGTATACATTATAGATAACATTCCGTTGCAAAATATATTTATTTCTTTACGTGAGATGCGATAGAAATAAAAACTACTGTATTGGGGTATATTTTAAAAATCGAATATGTATTTAATTATATTGAAAATACTGTAGTATACATTATAGATAACATTCCGTTGCAAAATATATTTATTTTTTTACGTGAGATGCGATAGAAATAAAAACTACTGTATTGGAGTATATTTTAAAAATCGAATATGTATTTAATTATATTTGTCCCAGGATTATTTACAAGTTTAAATAATAATGCCTACATTAAAATTTTGGGTCAGTTTAAATCTTTTTTTGAAATCCAGACACAGATAGAGGGTATACAAATTGAAAATAAAATACAAATCTTTATTGAAATAGTCGACGATACGACAGAAAACACGTACAGAATTTACCTGACGTGGACTTTTTATTGCACACAATATCAAGGAGTCTCACAAGGAAAGGGTCTCTAAATTTCCNAGATTTATTCTTAATATTAAGTGAATATTAAGATTTCGTAGCAATTCTTGTTAATTTATAGAAAATTTATGATAAAAATACATTAGATTTTTTAAAGTGAATTTGACTCTAATACAAAATCTAAAATGAATTTTGTTCCATTAGATTCACGAATGTTTCGATGAAAAAGGCAAGGTAATATATTATTCGTGTTATTTTTATATATTTAAATTTTTGCTGTAGTTAATTTATACATAAATATTTATATTTCAATTAGGATCTAGGAAACCCAGACAGACAAGATATATCAACAATGGAAGAAACTGCCAAATATTGTATGTTTCAGGCATAAATCATATATCAAAATTACTCTGGTGTGATTATAATGTCGCACATTCGTACAATTGTACTTTTTGTATCCGAACAATTAAAGAATTAAATTAAATATGAAGCATTAAATTATTGTTTTCTATAAATTAATTACGCGTAACATTTACTTGAGGGTCGCTTTAAACTTAATAATTTTAAAATATAATNATAAACGGTTGTGTTGTTTGTAAACGAAGCATCTATCTCTGACTCAACTGCTTCCACATGTCGTTGATTGTTACCGCTCGGCAATCCAAACGGCAAGGGAGACGATGACGATATATATCACATATTATCGTTCGTCGAAAGACTTTTTTATTTCTCCCCCCCTCGGCCCCCACATATATATAATCGTTTCCTTGCAAAAGACAGGATATAATTAAATACTTTTACATCCGAGTTTTTTCTTTAACACATATAAATTTCCTTTCCAAACAAGTAGTCACACAAATCGAAGTTAAACTCGAATTGTATTGTTTGTTCTTAGAACATTTTGTCGAATTCAAATAGAAGACGAAAGATGAAAGTGTTCTTGATTGCAACATTTTCATTCCTGGCTGTATTTGGAGTTGCTCAATCATTTACTCAGCATGAATTTCAAGATGCTGTGTGCTGTAAGGCTGCATTTTTCTTTTTTCTCTCCTTTTTTATTGTAGTAAGAATTAAGTTTATAATTTACTTTGATTTACATTTTGATTTTTTCAGCAATACCCGACAAATATCTACTCAGATTCATAAATTGCACTGTTAGTCGTGCCCCAAAAACCTTTCAAAAGGTATGCTTATTTTCTAATTTTCAATTGTGATTTGGTTTAGATTAATTCACGCATTTTTAAACGAATGTTTTTATTTATAAGGCAGTCGATATCGTACATGAATGCGTAGATACATTTTATGAAGTCGATGGCAAATTGGATGCTCTTTTAACAATTTCTTGTGATAATAATGTACAGACAGACAAGGATGTAAGTGTATTTTTCAGACAGATTTATTCTTAGTATTAAGTGCATATTAAGATTTCGTAGCAATTCTGGTTAATTTATAGAATATTTGAGATAAAAAATATATTAGATCTTTTAAAATCAACTCGACTTTATTTCAAAATCTAAAATGAATTTTGTTTCATTAGGTTAACGATTGTTTGCGGGAAAAAGGCAAGGTAATATATTATTCGTGTTACTTTTATATATTTAAATTTTTGCTATAGTTAATATATACATAAATATATATATTTCAATTAGGATATAAGCGACCCAGACCGACAAGATGCGTCAACAATGGAAGAAACTGTCAAATATTGTATCTTTCAGGCATAAATCATATATTGGAATTACTCTGGTGTGATTATAATGTCTAACATTCGTACAATTTATTGTACTTTTTGTATCCGAACAGCTAAAGAATTAAATTGATTATGAAGCATTAAATTATTGTTTTTGTAAGTTATTTACGCGTAACATTTACTTAATGGGCGCTGTAAACTTAATAATTTTAAAACATAATTCGTTAGTTATTAATGTAAAATGTAATATTCTCTTAAATATGGCAATAAAAATTTAAATCTTGCTTATAAATTTTGTAATTAACCGTAAAATTGTTTAACTCGTATGATATGGTAAGATTTTAACTTAAAAAAAATAGTTATAAAAATTAAATTATTTTTTATTAAGAATGATAAGAAGTTTTTAAATAGAAGAAAATAAATAAAATGTATTTTATTTATTATTCTACAATAAAATCTGTCCAAAATGAAACCTTCATAAAACGGAAACCTGCCAAACCGGAAAAATATTCGGTACCGCGCGGTCCCGGTTTACACAGGTTTTACCGTATAACTTTCGGCTTTAACGGTCAACCCCTCACTCAAATTAGTTCGTTAAATCGATATTTTACTATAATATAATTACTTTTCTTTATGTGACAGTAGAAAGAATCGACGTCACTATTTCTTAAGGAGCAAATATAATAATTTTTGGCTATTTAGATTCGAATGTCGTTATTTAAATAATTAAATTGTTGTCAGAATTAATAACTCTTGTGCATNTTAATAATTGATGAACGAATTGAAAATGGAGATGGGAATTCATCAATCTGATTTAAAAAATAATATCTTAAAATTTACAATTTCAGAAAGAGTTTAGATTTTTTAAAAATTAAAAAATCTTTTCTAACGTTATAACTTGATTACAAAACTTAAAAAAATATCACATTTTAAAAGGAAATGATTTAATTAGAGCCAGTTTATCGGAAACTTTTAACAATATCCTTTACAACTTTCTTCGTTATTAAGTAATTTTGTGATAATTGCACTTATCAAAACGTATCGCTATTAGCTTACATTAATAAATTCAAAAATTAACACTTGAACTACTTAATTTGTCGAAAATTTTGCAGGGATTTTTGTGTATTAACGGAATTTATGCTATTAAATTTTAGTGGTTAAAGGTCAACGAGGTGGGGAGATAATAGTGTCGTATGTATCTCCAGTAAGGTTAAGACTTAATGACGATTTTACTCGTTATTAGCATTTACAATTAAACACCACATTGGTTTCCTGGCATTACACTTCTCGACTTCTTTCTGTTAGGCTATTTCAAGCCCAAGTGTACCAAACCACTATACAGGATACCATTGATATGAAGATCAGGATCGAGTACGAATAGAGTTGAATACCTGTTAGGTGTTGTACTGTACTGTACAGTACATGCCATCAGAGGTACTGCGAGTGCCATCAGAGGTACTCTTCACAGTATAATCAGAATTGTTAATAATATTCTTAAACTAATGGCCAGATTTGGAAGAGTCGTGCATATTTCTCAAGGAATCTGTTTCACTTTTTACATTAGAACCTCCGTCACGTCATTTAATTCTTCTAATGCTGTTAAAATTTTGTCCAAATCAAATCGAACTGACTTCACAGAATTTATTCGGCATTCCCAACGTGTATCTGATAATGGTTTTAGAGTTGAATTTGTTAAATGTTTCGTTAAAATAGCCCACCTAGGAGCAGACGTGGAAAACTCGAAAGTGTTCCAAAAACTATCATAGTCGTAGAAACCGAAGAAGCCATATCATATATTAATAAATTTAAATTGTGCGCTGAACGTGACACAAAAAATGCTGTCGGATTTTTTCCCAAAATCCTTGCTTGCACGTCTTTTCTCTTGCCTACCAAGTTAGCTTCATTGTGATAAGCTTGTCCACGGCAATCGATCAAAGAAATATTTAAATTTTTAAGTTGTTTACATAATTCCTCTAATAAATCAAACTCTGCACATTTCGGCATAGGAGAAAAACCGATAAAATAATCATTAATTTCAACTTTGTTTTGTTCTTCAGGCATTTCTACAATTTGAACAATAAGAGTTAATTGTTCAATACGACTTTTATCTGTAGTACAGTCTGACTGTACTGTATAATATTTACTTTTTTTATTATTTCATTTTTAACTTTGTTTGCCAACAGATTAATTATCTCATTTTGAATTTTTCAACCTAAATAATAATCGTTTGTTTCTTTATCTTTGATACGTCTTATAGCCTATGTTTTGCCATTCTTGCATCGAATGTTGAAATTAATTCTATTTAGTATTATTAAGCAGCATAAATTTGTTCAATTAAAACATTTATAAGATTACAATATACTCAAGTGTATAAATCTTCTATGCAATGCTAACTACACCAATCTGACTTGGGGTCTGAGTTTTTTGTTGGTAGATTACATTATTATGCTGCATCCTCTTAAGCGCGGCGCCCGGGGCGGCTTTGGTCTTGTCTTTATCTCGAGAACGGAGTTAGATAAATGAAAGACGAGACCAGATATGGAAACATTAGGGGCAGCAGGAGACCCTCTCACTTCCTGTGTATTACTTTAAAAATTCTCAGTAAACATACCGTCTATCAATTAAAAAGGCCAACTGAGCGTTTAGGTTTGAATTATGGCAACACAACACTTGAGCGATCTGCCTAGGGGATGCCTTCCGGGAGAGTTTTTTAAGGAAAACTGATCCCTATTTAGGCGTTACAGACGTGGAGAAAACCCGGAAAACTCACGTCGCCCGTCCGAGAGAGGAGCGAACCCACGACCGAACTACCAGTGTTCAGGGAACGAAGAACGCTTGGCCACTACCAGATCTGGGCTTTTAAATGCCTTTATTACGTGTAAAAGAATATACTACAGATTATCAAAATTAAGCAATAGCCACCAACCGAATGCTTTCAATTTGCTATTAATTTAATCGTTACAAAAAGGTTTAATTTGCATAAATCTGAGCTTTCGTTATTCTGGACATTTCGAATGAAAGTCATTTGTTTGGATGTACTTTTATCCTAAATATCTCTATGGGGAATTCCGCAAAGTTCGACCTATCGACCCAAAAGTTTCGCTACCACCTTACTGATAACGAGAAAGACTAAATTTTAAAATTTCAGCTCTCTAGACCCGTTAGTGCTTTTTCTCTAGAACCGTCTGAACCGCCAGAAAGAGAGAAAAAGACAGCTTTTATGCCGATTTTTGCACTTTTCAATTGCACTTTTATATTTCGGCAAAGTCTCTGTAAAAAAAACCTGAAATTTTGCATACTACCTAAAAACACAAATATCTTTCGAACGAGATGTTTACATTTACTATAGATGTTAGAAAGACAGAGAAACCGACCCCCGAAAATCCTCAACTCTGAATCCCGTATATGTAGTCAGTCGGTGAATTTTTCACTCGGAGCAATGTAACTGCCATGACTCTCGATACTGTAGAACGGCCTTTCTTCTGTGGAATCGACGAATTCAGCGCTGTAAAAGCAGGAGAGCAGTTTTGTTGGTGAATTTCTGAACAACTATAATAATATTTTACAATTATTTTCTTTTTGGCGTATTATCCATAGTGACCATTGATGTTTAAGTCTTAAAGCGGTTACGTGTAAACAAAACAATTTAAATAATTCCTTTAAAAAATACTTGATAAACATTTAAATACAGTTTCAAATTCTGCAATAACGTCCACCTTTAAACGGCTGTTATTTTTTCAGAAGGTTTTTTTTTTAATGGGTAAAAATGCATACAAAATAGAATGCAAACAGCGGGCATTCTTAAATGTTTCTGTCAGTGGCAGTTGTTCGAAGGTTTGACTGTGTTATAAATCGCTAACAGAAGGTTTAAACAATAATTTCTAGTTATTTTGCATTAATATTAAAATCAGGATTAATTAAAACTTTCAAAACCGATTAACTCGAGAATAATTCCTAATA